GGGAAAGAGACTCTCTAAGCTTATCTGTCTACTGTGGGGTATTTGCACCTTTTGGAGTCAGGCTCCTTGAGGATGTTAAACCTAAATTGGCTGGTTAGAGTGAAGACATACATATTCCTCTCTGAGACCTCTCTTCCAGCCCTGAAGCAGAAGGGGACAGGTTTTTGCCACACATGGGGTTCAGAAACAAATTTCCAGAATTCATCTGATCTCAAAAAAACAATTTTGGTTCTGTTTTTACAAACTAAAGAAAAGTCTCCAGCTGAAGAGAGAGAGAACAAAGGCTCAAAATAAGAAGACTCTCTCCCTCTCAGTGTTTTGTTCCTGACAGGTGTAGCCTTTGAGTGTTGGTGTTGGACACGGGTATTGTTGCTGCAGAACAGATATGAAGACCAGCAGTCTTTTTCGCCTTAACCTGAGACCCAGAGGGTAGCTCCATCTCCAGGGCCATACAGGGCTTGGGATCTCTACTGACATTACCAGCACAGTAGCAGATGTTATGGTCATTTTTTGTGAAATGAAGAACTGTCCTATACAACATTATCTGGACTAATAAACTCGCTTCATGCAGGCCATCAAAGAGCTGTCACAGCTCCTACAATTTGGTGATCCAGATAAAAGTACTCTTTCATGATCCTGTTTCTGATCCATCCAGCCCCCTGTTATTTCAAATGTAAAAGTTTTATGGAAGGGAAGGTTTGGCCCACTTTCATTTGAAAAGTAGTTTCTGTCAGTGATCTGTGCACCTGCTAGTCTACCATGCCAATAAGGAGTTAGTGCAATTCAAGAACTGTTCCAGAAATGGAATTTATCTTACTCTTGCTGATTCTGTTTAGATTTTTCTTTAAATGCCTTGCTTGGATTTGTATGACTTATACTGATGGGTATACAAAGCATCTTGGGCTCATGATTAGATTATGTAATACATGCTTGCATATCATGAAGAATATAAATTACACCTCCCTTTTATACAGTTGTCCTGCAATTTAATGAGCATTGGTGACAAATGGAAAGCTTACAATTAGTTGGATGCGAACAACCATGACACTTTTGAAAAAGATCAGCTTGCTATCTACATGACTTCCTTTTTTTTTTTTCATTGATCAGCATGCATTTAACCATCTACACCTATAGAAAGGCCTATGATCAACAGGGAACATATCAAATAAAGAAGAATCAACAGAGATCAACGTGTCTCTATCTAAATGTATTCAAAGAGCAACTGTGCATGTATGTAGTATTTAGAGTTTTTTTCCCCTGATATGCAAGACTCTTGCACGTCTGCGCATGTACATACACATGCACAAGGTTAATTAACTATCTATAGAAGCACAAAGAAAGATTACCAGCTGCTAAACTTACTAAAGGCCAGCTTAATGTATGTCAGGTACATCCAGCAGCAGCTTTCATTTACACAGGCTGTGTTAGAGTGGAAGTGGGGCCAAAAGGCAGAACAGAACAATTTTGCTTCTCAGTTGGTGTCTGGTGATTTATTACTCTGGAACATTTCTGAGAATTAAAATATAAATGAAAAGTTTATCTTGCTCTACCTTTTGAAGGCTTTAAAAAGATAATTAGGTTGCATCCTGTATTATCCTGTAAAAGTCTGCATCAGCTCTGTGGCTAGAGAACAGAAATGATCTGACTTGAATGATATACTTGGGGATGGTCCTGTTTTGAGCAGATGACCTCCTGAGGTTCCTTCCAATCCTAGTTTTCTATGTTTCTAAGATCTCATTGATTTCTATAGAGCGAACTTGTAAAAATGTTCAGTTTTCTTAAAATACTATTAAAAGTAGCTTACAACATACGCACATGTTCCTTGTATGCATTTCTGTCGAATCATTCCTGTTTCTCATCAGCTAACCTGCTTGAACAGCCAGGGTAAAGATGAACATATGCTTTATTTATTTCCCACTACTTTACTGTACACAGCTCTGGCTTTGGCATTACCATCACTTCTAAGGGATTTAAGCCAAAATTTTTGACACATGCATGTGAAGGATGCATACAGAATTATATGATCTCATGAGAACAGCTCCACTGTATGCAAAATCAAAGGTCAATACACAGTTTCAGATTCCTTATGATGTATTTATCTTCACAACAAAAGTAGAAATGAATGAGCTTCAATAAAATGTGCTTATGTGAATACTATTTCCAAGCTGCTTGTACTTGGAACATTTCTTCAAGGTTGATTGCTATGGAAAAACAATCAGTCTTATGCTCTGGCCCTATGTTCATATCTCCCTGTATTTGTTGCCTTTGTTTCCTAATAGGTATTCCTGTAAGCAAAGCAAAAAATAATCTGTATGCCACCCAAACAGTGTATGTTTTTTAGACAGTTATCAAAATACTATCAATATGCCAATGAACTTTATTTGGCAAGCATTTCCCTGTTGGGGCAAACTGGGAAAAATGTTTAAGTAGCTAGGTCTTGAATTAATGGGGGCACAAAGAGTTTTATTCTCCCATGGGACTGTCTGAATTCAAGTAAAGTTCATGATGACAACATATGTAAAAACTCCCAGCTATCTGTCAGGGAACTATTACCCTAAAGTGATTTGTGATTACTGATCAACATTGCTAACGCACAGGGACCAAGTTCTGCTACAGTGTAACATAGAGACGTACAAGTAACTTAAATCTAAGACTCCTTGATCTCAGCTTAGCAGTGCCTGGAGTTGTTCTGTGGTGTTCAGCAATGATCCCCTGGCTGAGGGAGGAATGACCTTGCTTACCTCAGGGACCCCATATTCACCAGCATGTTGTCAGCACAGTGTAGTACCTAGAAAGAACCCTAGATTTCAGAAAATGTCTTATGGGGCTCTCCTGGGCTAGTAGGGGGAAGAACCATTTGAAATGTGTGTATTTTGCCTTGAACATTTTATTTTGCCATGACATTGCCTTGAACACAGAACTATAAGACTGTCAAATAAATGTATGCAGTTTGGTGTGGGTATTCATGTGACTTAATGCTCTGCTTTCATGATCTTATTAGCTGACTTTCTGAAGAGATAGTAGACCTAGTTACTCATGCTTGTTACTGCCTGGTCAGCCGTGGAACCTTTTACATTAGACTTCTGCATGATGGGAGCTTTTATAGTTCATGTAGTGTTTCAGAGCTCCAGCCTTGAAAAAATACTGGATAATATGCAATGAGGAACAACTTTGCATTAACATGGATGTTCCAGATACCTTGCTATATTTTTTTACCATCTTTACCCTCTGTGTTCCATCCCCAAGCAGCACTGATATGGAGACACAAAGCCTTAAGTCCTTAATCGAGTAAATCTCTCATCGAATCAAATGCATTTGACTACTATCACTTTTTTTTCTTTGTAATGTTCCCAGTTTAGTTAAGGATTTTTCCCTCCTTGATATCCAGTACGGTAATCTATGTAAGAGTCCCCCTAAAAAGCTGGACTATGGATGAAATGTGAATCAGGTGTTGCTTTTATCATGTCTCATAACAACTGAAAGTCAGGGCACTTAATATTTGGTAAGGCAGCCCTATATTTTTTACATAATGCATAATTAATCTGTAGAAATCACTGCCACAACATTTCTTTGAGGCTAGGAGAAGGCTGATCTTCAGGAAAGAATTAGAAAATAACCCAGTTTATTAGATATCAGGCAGAAGGGAGGGCTGCAGAAATGGAAACTGGACTATAGGGACCTCTGGTCTTACTGGAGATGACAAATTCCAT